TGAGGGATACAGTGTCCCTCTTCTCTGGGAATTTTTGAAAATTCTTTTTTATCTGTGGTGTTTCCAGTCAACCCCTGACTACAGCTTGGCTATTAATCGATGACAGAGAGGAAATGTCTAATTCGTGATGTGTTCCAAAACTTTGGGATTGGCTGTTTGGAGAACTCAGAATATATTTTCCACCAATAAACCAAATTATAAATGATGGTGGGGTTTCCAGACCAGCCCCACAAAACTTTTCTCAACCCATCACTTTGTTGAAATCTTGTACTTTTAGAGCAAAATTCAGCAGAAGGCAATTTTGTCACAGTACAAATAAACAAACTCAAATACTGAAGACAGAGTCTCCTTTATCCCGAATTCTATTTAATACGATGACCAGTTTCATGAAAAGAAGGGAAGAGATGGAGGCTTTTTAGGGAGGGATCCCCTGCTTTCAAGATCTGGGAGGCTGACAGCAGCGTCTGTTATTCTGTCTAGCCAGTTACACTCTGCTACCATTTTTTCCTGTTGCTTCACATGGGCCTGAAGCAAAGAAGCTACTTAGATGTGGCTCACACAGGAAGCTAGCAAAAGAATGGGGAGGGAAACCAGAAAGTCTGAAAGAGGTTTCCTTGATGGGAGTTAAAAGCATGTTATTGTGAGAAGAAGACTGCTTAAATCAGCATTAACTGACCTGCTCAGACACCCAGCAGCAGGCAGGAGACCAGAGGCCCTGAGCCAGGTGACTGTCTACTGTTGCTCTGCCGGTTCCCTCTCTAGCCAGAAGGTGGTGCTATCGGCCCAGTAGTCCAAAGGGGGCGGGGCCTGAGGTAGGAGGCGCTCTCCACGTGGAAGCCACGTTTTCCACTCAGACTCTGTGATTCACAGAAAACCTGTATTAGACAGCATGTACCAACCTACCCCTTATCCCTCCATCATATAACAACTGTTTCCACCCTCTACGACCCCCCACCTGCTTACTCCCCCCCCCCCCCCCCCCACCACCACCAAAGAACAACCTCCATCCTGCTAGGCAACACAACACATTATCTAGACTGGAATGGCCTCCCAATTCTCTCATTCATACTCTTTTGCAATGTCAGCGACTGGGCCCTGACTTTTTCCTAGTTCCAATAGGAAATCCAATCTAAGAGTTTTGTCCTGCATTACCATCAGAATGAGAACCAGATCTTCCATAGGGAGCACAGATTTGTCACAAGGTTTGATAACAGGGCCCCAGACTCCCTGGCCAGTTTTACCTTCCATTTTCAAACCTGGGCAACCTCTATTCCAGATACCATCTCCTCCATGCATTTATCCTGCTGCTCTCCCTCCTGCAATGCCCTTTCTCCTCATGACCACTATTCATTATGTAAAGGGGAAAGGATGTCCTTAACGAACTCTACAGATACTGATTGTGTAGACTTCGCCCCCACCCCAGATACCAGAACTACAAATCCCAGTGACACCAAAGAGAAGCATGCTGGGACCTGAGGGTGGAGCTAAGCAGCCAGGGTTGGATATAAAACCAGACATGGGGTTTTGGGGGTCTCTTGGTCTTGTGGCTCGTGACTTGTCTCTTCCCTGGCTTTCAGTGTGCTATTCCAGGTCAGCAGAATTGGTAGGACACATTAGCCAACTTATCTCTCTCTTTCCCTGAGTTATTCATTTCCCTTTTCTCATGTAAATAAACCCATTATTAACCTTTTTGTGTGCACCTGCAGTTGAATCTTAAGCCCACCAGAGAGGACCCAGTATGAATTCTAACAATTCCCTGTAACAATTACTCTCAGTAGCCTCTTCTCCCACATTTCAAAGTCTAATCCAACGGTCCCCTCCCCAAATCTACTCACTCTTGAATCTAATGTGAAATATAGTTAGGAAAAAAAATGCATCCTCTGCATCAACCACAGACCCAGGATGTCACCAGGCAAGACATCATCCCTCCCTGGCTGCTTGGGCCTTAAATTGGGCACTAGGGCCCATCCAGACAGACTCCCTTGCTGACCCCGGGGCAACACCAGTCAGTCTGGCCTTGCTCCTCCCAGGTCTCAAATCCCATCTAGGTCAGACTTCCACCTAGAGAGACACCAAAGCCACAAGCTCTATGTCTGCTCTCAATTCATGTTAGCTTTATAATGATAATAATTACTATGATTATTATTGCTGCCCCTTCCCCACCCTCACTCTCATCACTCACAAAGAATATCTGCCAAGCCAGGCCTGAGTTGCACAGCTAGATGAATGAGGGGGGGATCAAACAAAGTCATCAATCTGAGCCCCCACCCCAACAGTGCCACCCTAAGCCTGTTGCCTAGACTGACTGTCCCAGAAAACTGCCTAATGAATCGAGCCACATGAGACTGACTGATGGACATTATTTTCTGGATGTTTCACTCTGGTCAAGTGACCTGGAACTAAAAAAAAAAAAAAAATTAAGTACTACCTGTTCTTTGGACACCAAAAAAATCAGCTACTGCTTTGTTTTGTGTTCAAAATAGGCAGTTGGCTCAGGTAGGAAACGCGAATGTCTCCAATGAGGCTAGAGCAAAGGACCCAGAGATAAATTCTGAAAGCATGCAGGTCCTCTGAGTGCAGCCACAGAGCCTCAGGGTGGCAGTGCCTGGCCAAAGGCCAGCCTCCATTTGCCTGACCTCTGTCAAGTCTTCTCAGAGTACTTGCATCTGGCAAAGGTGGGCTTGCCCTGCTCCCAGGGCCTCTCTTATTTCTGTTGGTCAAAACACACCAGATCAGGTGCCATTTGTAATGCTAATATTGCTCATGTTCTCACCCACAGAAAAGGTTCCAAAGAAAAAAGGCCTGCTCCAGGAAATACAAGGCTTATGGAGTTAGTGAGAGGTCAAAAGCTGCTGCTCTTCTTTCTTTCGTTCGTTCTTTATTTGCTATGTTTTGTTTTTAAAGAAACTACGGGAGATGATTTTTTTTCATAAACTAATAAAGGAAGCTAACTATGCAAACAAAAGCTGGGTGGAAAAGGCGAAACACCCATTTTAATGTACTCATACCCCACCTCCTTCCACAAAAGATCTGAGGCTGCAAGAAGTAATTGCTACTAGAATCATGGGCATGATTGGTCAGTGCCCTGCCTCCGCCGCAGACTCGAACCTTCAAAGTGGCCATTTATTGGGACTCTGAAAGCCGGGCGGGGATGGTGGACAGCGGCTCCCGGCGCTGCGAGCAAGGGAAGAGTCCACTCCGAAGGCGTTCTCCCCACCCCCTACCCTCGTTTCCCCTCTCAGCCCTCGCCGTCCCACCCCCACCCCACCCCCAACTCCCTGCCGCTGGATGCGCCAGACCTCTGCAGTCAGTGGCGGCCACCGAGGACCCCCCCACACCTCCTCCTCTGCCTTCCCTACACCCCAGAGCAGCCAGGACCTGGGAGGGAAGCTTTCGCAGTCCAACCGCGGCCGACGCTGATCTGACCCCCAGCGTCTCCGCACCCCCTCCCCCAACCCTGTCAGCAGGCAGCCCCAAAGAGGTGGGCAGTGCGCCCCACCGCGGAGACCCAGGGTTTTGTCGTTGTGGGCAGTGGGTGATGAAACCTTCCCAGCGCATTACCACAGAAGGTGCCTGCGGGGAGCGGGGCGGGAGTGGGGAGTGGGCGCTGGTACCCAGGCTCACCTGTTCTCCAGAAGGAGGGTGGGGACGGCGGGGGAGGGGCGAGGGAGGGCGCGTCAACGTGAGGTGCGTGCAGCCGGGCGCTCCGCCGCCGCGCTCGCGTCCCCGCCCTCCCCCAGCCCTGCTAGCCCCCAGAGCTGCGCCGTCGGACTGACGGTGCCCGGAGCAGTTCCTGTCCCCGGCCCCGGCGCCGGGGAGACGTGAGCGTGCACACGTACACACACAGCAGGGGGAAGAGGCGCTCCGAGCGGCGCCCAACTTTCTCCCTGCTTCCGCGGGGGGCCGGGGGAGCTAGCAGCCGGGGGCTGTCAGACCAGCCTGGGATGGGGGAGGGAGCGCAAACAAGAAAGGAAAAGAGATGGAGAGTGTTTCCCCAGTTGTGTTTCTTGGGTTCTTTCTTTTAACCATTTCTACCCCGTGGCTGGAGAGGGAACCCGGAGCCGGGCGGCGAGTAGCGCTTTGGGAAAATGGGAGAGTGTGTTTGGAGACGCATAAAGTTGCCTTTCAAGCTCAGGCCTCCAGGGCACACGATGCTCCGTGGCAGGCTGACTCAGGGCTGCCTGGGCCTCCCTGCCACCCGCCTGGAAATGATGCAAGTCCAGACTGTCACCTGGATCTCTGAAGCCCAGCCCGGATTCCGTGAGGATGGGGGGAAGGGCAAGAAACTGACACCTTAGGTGCTAGCGCGGCCCACCCTAGCGGGGCAGAAAGAAAGGGGGAAGACAGACGGAGACGGGACAGTCGCTCGGGCTAAATCTTTTATCTAAAGATCTGCTTCTCTCAGCAGTAGTTTGAGTTTGGTGTGTGTGTGTGGTGTGTGTGTGTCTGTGTGTGTGTCTGTGTGTGTATGTGATGGAAAACGTCACAACGCCAGGAATCCCCATATGTGCTCGCTTTGCCCCCAACATTGCTGCGCCCCGGCAACTCCTACACTCTGTCAAGGCCTCGGAACTGGGAATCTCACTGAATTCCAAACCGCGGAAAAGGAAACTTTCCCAGCCCGGTGGGATGCCGGCCTGGGGAAGAATGGGGGCATCTGTCCCAGAGAACGACGTCCCCGCTCGCCCTTCTTCAAGTACAATTCGAGCTGGAATTTGCTTTTATTTTTTAAATTCGTTCGGCCATTGCCCGGGAGCACTGGCACACGCATCTCCGGCCGCGCTCACACACACTCACTCACGCACGCAAACGCGTGGCCGCCGCCAGGTCGACAACTTTGTCGGGCGCTCCCAGCGGCTCCCCGCTTCCTCCTGTAGTAGTTGGGCGCAGGCCCCGCCTCCCGACCGTGTTGTCAAACGGGCCGGGGTCTCGGATTGGTCCAGCCGCCGGGACAACACCTGCTCGACTCCTTCATTCAAGTGACACCAGAGCTTCCAGAGATATTTGAGGCACCATCCCTGCCATTGCCGGGCACTCGCGGCGCTGCTAACGGCCTGGTCACATGCTCTCCGGAGAGCTACCGGAGGGCGCTGGGTAACCTCTATCTGAGCCGCGGCCGCGAGGAGGAGGGAAAAGGCGAGCCAGGAGGAAGAGTGGGAGGGGGAAAGCGGCGAAGGAGGAGGAAGAGGAGGAGGGGAGCACAAAGAATCCAGGTCTCCGGGGCGGGAGGTTTACAGCAAGAACCATGTGTGCCGAGCGGCTGGGCCAGTTCGTGACCCTGGCTTTGGTGTTGGCCACCTTCGACCCGGCGCGAAGCACCGACGCCACCAACCCGCCTGAGGGACCCCAAGACCGGGGCTCCCAGCAGAAAGGTCGCCTGTCCCTGCAAAACACAGGTAGGTGCGTGCGCCCGGTGAAGGAGAGCTGCTGGGAGACAACCCGGTGCACCCACGCAGCTCGTTCCGCGTGCTTCGCGGGGAACTGAGCGCCCACCCAGGGTCGCGTAAACTCTTGGGGTGGCTGTGGGACGTGCAAAGCATAGCGCGAGGCAAGGCGAGGTCTGCGCCAAGGCTCTGAGCGCCCGGAATCCGCACGTGCTGGCGGGGTGATGAAATGGCTGGGGCAGGACTTGTTGCTGTCCTCCCCAGGGTCGAGGGTAAATGAGGCTGCGCCTGACTCGGCCAGTGCCCGCCCGGGAGTCCGAGGTCCCGTGCAAAGCTCCCAGCTGCATCCTGGCTCTCCCGCGGGAGGCAAAGGGGTCCCGGCTGCACGTTGCCCCGGGAGAACTTCTTTTCCCAGCCAGCCTGCCCGTGGCAGGACCCCCTCTCTCCCTCCTCAGATGAGATGCCCCACATCAGAAAACTTCATAGCCCAGACAAATTGCATTGCGAACTTTCCTCCGGGGGTGTGGAGAGGAAGGAGAAGAAATGACTTCGGGAAAATGGAGAGTGGGATGGGAGGCGGGGTGGCGCACAGCGTACCTTGGCGGTGCCACTTGGTCCCTGGCTCCAGGGCAGGTCAGGAAGCAAGGAAATGGTGACACGACCCTTATCGTGCGCTGCCACTGCTTCACGGGTTCTCTGCCAACGCTCAAGCTGCTGCTCCCAGCCAGGCGTGCACGGCACGGGACTGGCTCCTTTCCCAGCACCAGGAGAGAAGGAAATCTGCCTACAACTCCTTTACTCTACACGGCGCCCCCTTTATTTCGGGGGCCTGCGAACCTGGTGGCGACACGCGTGCGCTCCCGGCAGTAGCAAGAAGGCACGAGTGCTGATTTGGGAGCCCCAAGGAGGGTGTGCCCTGCGCGCTCCTGTCGCGCACGCCGGGGGGCCGGGGCGTGCGTGGGATCTTCCCCGAGCCGCCCACCCCCTTGGGCGGGTGCCAGCACCTCCCAGCCGCCGGAGCCCAGCTCATCCTAGGACAGACCCACACCCACTCTTACCCCCTCTCCAACGCTTTCCGGGAGAACTGAACGCGATTTTCAATGGTTGACCCTCGACAAATACACGCCCCTCTTCCTCTGAGTAGATTTAATCTGAATGCGGATTATGTACTCCGAACACGTCCTTCTTCAAAAATATACTTTTCTGATGTAACTTGTGGTTTGGTTTAAATCAGGGGGTTGGGGAGGGGTAGAGAGAAGAGGTTTGTACATGGCAGTCTGACAGTTAATTCCCAGAGTCTGTGCTTTTCAGAGAGACGAATTAGGGTCACATTCTGCGAAGGAGGGCGGCTAACTCCCTGGTCTCGGACTCTGAATAGATTGAGTGCCATCTCCCAAGAATCTCTGTTTACAAGGAGGCTCCAACTGCAGTGGTTGCGTTTCTGCAGGCTAGACCTATCTGATTTGACTCCTGAGCCTGCTGGGACACCACAGCTCCCAGAGCCTTCATAATGTGGATCACTTGGAGAAGCTGCCTTAATAAGAATTTTGTTTCCATGTTTAGGTGTTGGATCATAAAACTGAAATGAAACTGCTTTTTGGATGCTCTCATTTGGGGGTCAGGAAGGAAGTGGCTGGGGATTTAATAGCAGCAGCTTCAAGATCTAAGTAGAAAGGGGCCATCTCATTGATAAAGTACATGGGGTAGAGCAAACTAACCAATTAGAATATTGTGTTAGTGGGTTTACAAAGCTGAAATATGTGCTACACTCAAATTAAATTTTCACACAAATATCTGAATAAAATGCAGAGGATGGAAAATTGAATGCTCAGACTTTTGTAATGTAGCTTTGGTGAGTGTTTTACAAATATTTACAACTACATATTATTTTTATATGTAGATTAAGTAATGACATTTTCTTTCCCTAGCTTTTCAGATCCTGAAATAGTCTTTTATAACCTATTTATTTTAGTCTTTTAGTCCTTACTAATTTTTATCCCAACTACCCTTTCTGCATTCCCCAGCATGGCTGAATGTATATATTTGTATGTCATTCTCATTTTAGCGGAAATCCAGCACTGTTTGGTCAACGCTGGCGACGTGGGATGTGGCGTGTTTGAATGTTTTGAGAACAACTCTTGTGAGATTCGGGGCTTACATGGAATTTGTATGACATTTCTGCACAACGCTGGAAAATTTGATGCCCAGGTAAAAATCGTAAAGAGCACAGAAAATGTTTGGTGCGGCACACTTGAAGTGTTCATTGGAAGGCCTCTTCAGCTGATCTTCAAGCTGTGATGTAGCACTTGCAACAGACATTCCAAATGTGCCAGATGCCGGAATCTCCCAGATCCACTCCAGGGGTTCTACCCTCTGGGGCCATCATGTGGGCCAAATCCTTCTACATGTTTAGTAAGCTGTTTGCCCAGCAAAGTGGAATAGAGACTGAGTTGAATAATTGTCCGAGGAGGCTTAGCAGAGAAGTCAAAACTCATAACAAGTAATAAACACCTTCTGAAGAGGACACATGACACCTGGCTGGATCCCCAACCCAAGGCCCATCACATGTTAGAACAGAAGGTAGTGGGGGGTCGAATAGGAACTCCAATTATACATTCCACAAGCTATTCATGGGAGAATAAGTGAAACACAAAATTCACAGACATTCATCATCCCTAGTTGGTAGGTAAGCTGGCAATGTATAGGTTAGGAACCCCAGAAGGGCAGATTTTATTCCTCCTAAGCAGCAAGCCCTCCTCTCCCAACCTGTAAAATTAAAACCCTGAATAAGCCTTGCTCTATATAATAAATATAGGCAAGGCCTGACCCACTTTGGTTCTCCCAGGGTCCCAAGGGCAAAGCCGAGTTGCTGCTTGGGGCAGGCTAAGAACCCAACAAGCAACGTTAGGGCTGCAGTGAGGACCATCCAGATACATTTCAGGTGGCCTGGGGCCTTGAGCTCACCTTCCTCATGTACTTCACAGCCCAGCTCTGCCCTCAGATGTGCTCTGTTGTTGCATTTCATAAACTCCCTCCTCTCCCATTTCCTTGGAGAGCCATGACTGCACTGGAAGAGGCCAGCCATTTAGGTGTGATTGATGAGCACCACCAGTCACCTACATCCTGTAGGGAGCCTGGGATAAAGCAATGCCTGGGAACCAAAGAGTGACATGACAGGGCTGGCAGCCCACACGATAGAGGATGTGGGGTGGCAGGAGGGGAAACACAAACCAGGGAAGGAAAGAGTTAGAATGTTTGAACTTCTTGAGACTCCCTAATAAAGCATCTCCCCTGTATTAACTGGAATTAGGAAATCCGGAGGAAAATGTGTATTTAAGGGCAATCCAACAGGATGTCAGGGAAGAATACCAAGACCAGATTGCTGCCCACACATAAATTAATCTTCCTTTTCTTTTTCCACCAACAGGAGTAAGATCTCAAGTTAGAAGCATACCTTTCAAGTCAATTCTCAGCATGTAATTTCTTAATAAACCGGCACACCCTAGCCTCCATCCTATTTGGCTCCTACTGGAGAGTCGGAGGAAAGGAGCCGGGGGAGGTGGGTTTTGATGAATAGACACTATCCGTAGACAGCGCCATTGCTTCTAAAGGAAAAAAGCAGTGTGCCAGGGACCTTCCCACTTTTAACCCAAACCCATTACTTTCACAACTCAGTAACTTTGCCTAAAACATAGAGGGTGACTCCTGCAACAACAGCTTGTTTCTACAGTAATGGGGGGTGTGGGATGTCTGGGTAGGCATCCCACAATGCCTCAGCCACAACAGGCAGATAAGGGAGCTAACTGCTAGTGCTGGCCTCCACACCCCCAACAGCTGTCTCCTTTCTAGGATAAGACAATCTAAGGGGGTTGCCAGGAAAGAGGTCTGTGGGCCAGATGTATGCAGGAGCATGGGGGGAGGGGCTGTCTGTGGGGCAGTTCAGACTCCAGGCTGCCAGGCAGAGTGCCAGGAGGGCTTTCTAGAGGCGATAATCATAACAGTTTAAAGGAGTCAATCCCTTTCGAAAAGGAAAAGAATGCCCCTTCTTAAGGGACAGGAGGAGAGGAGACAAGCAGGGCCAGGGTGGGAAGCACATTAAGACCCCATCTTGACTCATTTATGGGACAGAAGGAAGAAGGCAAGGTGTGAGTGAGCTCCAGGCAAGCAGGCAACTTCTATTTTGAGGGGTGAGGGAAACTTACCAGGACACCAAAGAGGTGGGTATTTGGCCAGATTAGCCCTCATGTTCCTCAAAAGTTGTCTCCCAATAGCCAGCACTAGGCCAGGCAACCAAAGGAGGGGAAACTAGAACCGCTGGGGAGGAGAGAGGCTGTGGAGTCCCTTACTGAAGAACATCCCTTTTGGCCAAATGCTGCAGGTACCAAGGAGATAAGTCGGGAGCAGGGCCTTGGGTTGTCAGGAAAATCATGTGCAAGCTCTGGTCTGGAGCATTCTAAATGTTGTCACCAGGTCTCATTTCTTCTGCCCTTCTCTCCCTTCTCTGTTCTCAGGGCAAGTCATTCATCAAAGATGCCTTGAAGTGCAAGGCCCATGCTCTACGCCACAGATTCGGCTGCATTAGCCGGAAGTGCCCGGCTATTAAGGAAATGGTGTTCCAGCTGCAGAGGGAATGCTACCTCAAGCATGACTTGTGTTCTGCTGCCCAGGAGAACACCCGGGTGATGGTCGAGATGATTCACTTCAAGGACTTACTGCTGCAGGAGTGAGTGTGTCCCATGGCGAACCCGGGGAGGAGGGAGGCCCCCTGCAATGGGAAGAGAATCTTATTCCATCTTGTTTTAGAGGATGAATTCTTCTGTCAAATGGGGAGGTGGCAGTTGGCCTCAGTAAGCTGCACTGACACCCTCAAGAGTCCCTTTCCTGCTGACCTTCAGGGAAAGCCCAAGACATTTCCACCATCAGTCTCAAAACTCATAAGCAGTAGAAGCAGGAAAACCCATCCAAGTACCCAAAAGTCCCCTGGGTCTTCCAGGTAGCTGTGTAGACGCCCCCAACAGGCAGCCGAGAGTGAGTTACATTTGCCAAGGCTTCTCTCCCTGCCTGGGACTGCAGTGCTCTAGAGGAATTTCTCACTTACTCCTCACAACCGCCCTGTGAGCTCAGTTCTGTGCTCATCCACATTTCACAGAGGAGAAAACTGAGATTCAGTGCCTGAAGGTCACATAGTACAGGACAAGCAAAGTCAGCATAGCACCCTGCTATCCAGCCCCACCATCTCCCGTCTGACAGGCTGAACGCTGAAAGCAACAGCTGTGTCTCTTGCCACCATAGCGCTTCTTTCTCTTAGAAGGTCCAGTTCACCTTCACTAACACATTCATGCCTCCCCTAAAAAATGCAAAACAAACGTCAAAAACTTTAATCAACTAAGTACCTTGCTTATTTGAACACATGTAATCCAGTAATAAACCAAAGATAGCTCATTGCTTTAAAAACATCCCATCTAGAGGACCTGAAATTTTACAGGGTGCTAAATAAAACTTGCCAGTGCACGGCTGCTCCTAACAGAAAGCGTGGCCGATGACCCAGAAGGTGCTGATGGTTCCTTCCTCAGAGTTCAGGGCGGAGAGCAAGCCATCAGCTCAGCAGCCTGCTCCAGTCCTTGCCAGCTTGATGCCATCTTGGCCTTCGCCTGGTGACTCATTGGGCAAATCAGTACAGTTTGATGCTCTCTTGCTCCTCAGTGTATACCGGGCCCTTCCACCAGTGGTGTCACCTAAGAGACTACTCCCCACTCCACCCATGCCACTTAGATCTTGGACGACAGCCCCCATCATTATGTCACTTTCCACTTGGTTAGGAGGTTCGAGGTCTCTTGAATCACCCCTAGTGTGAAGTTAGAATTATAGTTTCACCGTGAATCCCTGAAAGCAGCTCTTGCTGAGAGCAAAATAATGTCGTTTTTTCCCTTGAGCTACACTGATGCCTCAAACATATTTTTTGGTTCTTCCAAATGCTAGAACAAAGCAATAATAACTGTGATCATTTTCTGAGTGGGCCGGGTCCATGCCCTGGGGTTTTCCCTAGGTAATCTCTTGTATTTCCCAAGTATGCCACAAGATAGAAATTACTATCTCCACATAATAGAGGAGGAAAGTGAAACAAAGAGGTTATAGATCTTGCGCTGAGATTTGAGTCCTCCTTTCCAACTTGGAATTGGTGATATCAATGACTAAAACCAGCTGGCAAGCACAGCCCTCAAACCTCCTCACTCCTGGCCTGCTCTCTCCTCACTAGTCCTGCTAAAGACCCATTGGGGTGGGGCAGAGTAGACAGGGTGGATCTTTTCCTCAACTGTGTCCCCATTTTACAAGGAGAGCCCTGGAACAGGCAAACAGCCCAAGGAGAAACTCAGGGAGTAGGGAGTTCACATGCCGGCACCCACGTCATCCCATGGATGTGGATTGTTGGCCTCAAGAATGGATAATGGGGAGCGAGTTTATAAGTCTGTGCTACATTCCTAGAGCACAAGAAGTCCTTGTCTGTTGGAAGAAAAGTCTTCTTTGGGGAAACTGAAGTTTTCCAAGATTCTCCAGGCCTCTGGAATTTAAAGGAGTAAGGCACTGGGCTTTCTGGTATCTCCTCCATGGAAACATGGCCATGGGGTCTTTCCTACCAGAGGGCTCTTTGAGCCATTTGCAAAGAAAGACAAGAAAATGAGAGCCAAATTTGCTATTCCTTTCAGAAAGTAGGAGGTCACAGTCACCCCCAAAATTCCTCAACCCTATCTCCATCCACCAACAAAATCTCACATTCAGTTCAAGTGACTTCCTTCAAGGTTTCCACTCCCTTTAGCTCCCCTCTCCCCTTCCAACCCCACTTTGTCCATCTCAGCCACCTGGGCCACCACACACCCGTCACTGGCAGCCTTCAGGCCACAGAGCCGGCTGGCACATCCCCCTCCAAGTATTTTTAAAAATCCTTTTGCCCTGCTGACACCCAGTTGAGAGAGCTGGGCTTTGTCATTAGACACCAGCTGAGCCAGCAGCCTGAGAGGGCAGCGTGCCAGCTCAAAACACGGCTTCGATGAACACACACCCCTCCCCACAGTTCACAGCTCTCTCCAAGGGCAGGAGACAGTGGGCACTAGTCCAGCTCCAGGATCCGCCTTGGGGTTCGGAGAGCTCATCTCCAGGCAGAACACCCTGGCAAAGGAGGCCAAGAGGCAACAGTCCCAAGAGGACCCCCTCCCTACTCTGGCAAATGAAACTTTTAGAAGCGCATCAGTGTAGTGTCCCCAAGACAGACAGATACTCAACCCTTGCAATTTGCTTATCTAGCCCCAGATGAGTGCCAGGGACGATCTGGTGCTAAGCTTGATACTGCTGTAGCAGACAGACTCTGTGAACTTAAGCTCCCTGAGGCGGCATTTGTAATGCTCCAGAGATGGAAGGAAACCAGCATGCATGGAGCCTTGCCCTGTGCTGCCTCATGCCCTCCTCTCATAGCCCAAGAAGTCTCCCACTGTCCTTGTCACTGTTGGGGCCTGCCTGTCAGCCCTGCAGATTCTGACTCCAGCGACACCAAATAGGCCTTAAAGGGCAGCTTGATCTCAACAGCCAAAACACTCCTCTTCTCCCCTCTGTGCCCAGCACAGACCTTCCCAGCCCAGAAGTTTCCAAAAGCTAACTTCTTCCCATTTGTCTCCACTTTTATATTCATGAAATTGGGACGGTTCACTCCATTTCAACTTGAGGACTAATTCATAAAAATGGCAAATCACAAATCTAAAAACACTCTCCACTCTTCCTCTATAGTAACTGCCAGCTTGCAAAGAAGAGATTAAATGGCTGTAATGCAGCCAGCCAGGTGGTCCAGGGCAAAAAAAAGTCTTGTGTTTCCTTAAAAATGACCTTACCAGTCAGCGTGATTCTCTGCCCAAGGTGATGGGCCAGAGCTTTGATGTATCCAGAAACTTTGCTAGCCAAGGACTGCTTAAACATGCTGGCTAGCCACATGAACTTCTCCAGACACCTTCCCAACAGGGCCTTTTAAACAGCCAGTGGAAGTAAGAAAGCCTCAGTGGAGGCCACCACAGAAACACTTGCCCATAAATATAAAAAGCAGGCCTGCTGCGCCCACCAGGTACACTCATCTCCCACGCTCATGGGGAAAGTTGACATGAGGTAGCCATTCCTCCCTTCTCTAGCAACTTCCCTAAAGAACCACCCAGGGCAGCTGGAATGACCTATGCAGCTGGCTCTCCTCCCAAACACCCAGCACCCTGTTGCCAGCCCTCACCCCCAGGGCTGGGAAAAACAGACTGGAAGAACAGAGATGCTCAGTTAGCCACTCCTCTACTGCAAGAAAGGAAAGCACCGCATGGAAAGCCCAGAAAGCCTGGCTTCCCCCACCCTTTGCCTATGCCAGACTCCAGAGGCTTCCAGTAACTTCCAAAAGCATCAGCCTAAACCTGAGGCAGCGCAGACAGGGCAAATGATTGCTTGGGCCTCTCCCTCAGAGGAGGCTCACCTGGTGCAGGCGATAGAGCCAGCTGGCTCCCTGGGGTCACATGTGAGGGGGGTGATGTGGGGCTCCCAGAAACCAGTCACCAGCCCTCCCTTAATCTCTGACTCCCCTGGCCCCCAAGACTCATCTCCACTCTAGCTGAAATCCACCTGGTTGGCACACCCGAAACATGTTCGAAACATGTCTCTCCTGTCCTGTTGTTATTCACACAGCTGCCCTGCCTGGAACTCTCCCCCAGCTCTCTTCTTCCTTTCAGCAGCCCTAGGCTGACCCTACGCCCTTAAGAATGTCACTGGCTCCTTCTCCTGCAGCACTCTATCCCCAGTCGCTAGCTCCAGTGCCTGGCATGGAGCCTGACATGTAGTGACCACCCAATAAATGTGAGTTGAGGTCAGTGCACCACGGAATCTGGAGGAAGGTCTGAAACAGTTCCAGAAAGGTCTTGCTCCAAGTCAACCCAAGTCAAGCACTGGCCTGTCTCTCTTCACTGGTATCCTCATTGCCCTCTGTGACCCATTTTGGGGCTTAGTGCACTTTCCATCTCTCTCCCTGTTCTCCATCTCTAGACCTTATGTGGACCTGGTGAATCTGTTGCTGACCTGCGGGGAGGAAGTGAAGGAAGCCATCATGAATAGCGTGCAGGCTCAGTGTGAACAGAACTGGGGAAGCCTGTGCTCCATCTTGAGCTTCTGCACCTCAGCCATGCAGAGGCCCCCCACAGCACCGCCTGAACGCCAGCTCCCAGGGGACAGAGCCAAGTTCTCCAGGCTCCATCACGGGGAAGTGGGTCACCACGTCCCAGAGTCCAGCAGTCGGGAGACCAGCCGAGGTGCCAAGGGCGAGCGAGGTAGCAAGAATCACCCAAATGCCCATGCACACTCCCGGGGCAGAGGTGCTGGCCATGGGGCCCAGGGAACTTCTGGAAGCATCGAGTGGGAGGATGAACAGTCTGAATATTCTGACATCCGGAGGTGAAACCAAAGGCCTGGCCGGGAAATCTTTCCTCCATGCCGTCCATTTTCTTCTCTATGGACATTCCAAAACATTTGCCATTTAAGAGGGGGGATGTCACACGCAGGATTTGGTGGGGATTGCGGACTTGATGAAGGTGTATGTTAGCAGGATGATCAGGGGAGGCGGAGGCCCTCTGGGCAGCTGGCAAAGTCTGGGTTGTGCCCGGCGGGTCCGAGTTTGTACCTGCCCAGGCGAGCTCACGTGTCTTCCTCGCAACTTTGTCTTCTTTCCATCCGTGGGGCTGCGGGGCGGCAGCCTGCGGTTTACTCTGCTGTGGGAGAGGTAGACGGCAGGGGTAAGCAGGCCCACCCACCTAGACCACGCTCTTGGTGCTGGGCCCTGCTCCCACCCCCCAAAAGCTTCCATGGCTGTCTTGGAGCAGGGCAGCAAAGCAGCATCCGGCTGGTTGCAGGAGTGAATGTGAAAATCTCACTGGGAATCAGAAGGGTGGAGAGGAGGCAGGGACTGTGTGGGTGCTGTTGCCAAACCGAAATTCAGTTTCTTGCCTGGGACCTTGAGGTTCGGAGGGACGGGGGGTGGGCGGGGGAGGGTTCTAAGTGTAATTTCTGAGCCAGTGTTCTGTCTGGGGGACGCTGTCCACTGTCCGAGGAAGTGGCCCCATGTTTGTATGTTAACCACTGCTTCAAATCTCGATTTCACTTTTTTATTTATCCAGTTACATCTACATATCTGTCGTCTAAATAAATGGCTTTCAAACAAAGCAACTGGGTCTGTAAAACCAGCTGAAAGTGGTGGGGGGGGGAGAACAGCCTATCTTTTGGGACTGGTTCTTTTTAAGTGCTATTTTAAAAGGAATCAGAGAGCAACAACACAGTGTAGCTGATTGCCTAGTGTGGGGTTGGCACCACTTAGAGCAAATCCCAAGACTGGAGGACATGGCACTTAGGGGGAGCAGGTAACAGTTTCCCTTAGCATCGCCTCATCTTACCTCACCCCTCAGCCATGGATAAAGCACCATGTCCTGGATTCCATGAGGCCAAGTCGGACACTAGGCTCCTCCATACTAGCAGATGGGGAGGGGGAGAAGGAAATGAAGAGCATCAGTCATCTCCCTCTGGAAGTCCCAACACTTAACATAAATGGAGGAGACATTACTAGGGAACAGGAACCATATTGGAAACTTAGCCATGAGCAAAGGAATCAGAGTGGACAAAAGAATGGCAGGAGAGACAGAACTGAAAATATAAGGAGAGAAGGGGAGGATGATAACAGGATGGAGTCAGTGACGGGTTTCCTGGGGCTATTTCAGAGGCTAGGTGGCTAAGGTCTTTTCTTTCCAGGTAGGCGAGCAAGTCACGCTTACCCCTTCTGGTCACCAATGCTCAACAGGAACCTGGTGTTGCAAGGAGTGATGGGTGTTCTGGGCTAGGTCCTTCCAAAACAGGGGAGTTTCTGTAAAAGTCCAGGGAGTGGATATGCTATTTCGCTCACAACTGCTTGACTGCCATCACAGCCCAAATTGCAGACATGTGAAGACAGGCTAACTGGTAGGCTGTGTCCACTCCCGTGAAATCATATTTCACAGGCACCCAAGTGGCTAAGGCTGTGGGGCCTGAATCTGCAGGCCCCTATTCTGGAGAATGGGTAAACACATCTGTGTCCTCCAATTATATACTAGCCCACAAAGCAAACTGAGGCCGGAGATCAAGAAGTTGTGTCTATCTATTCCAAATGATATGTTTCCCAGAAAATAGCTAGCATTTATATACCCCAAATCCAATCTCACTGCTGCCAGGACGTGGTGCCTGAGGGCCATCTCCCCAGTCTTCCAGATCCCATGTTGGAAATAATTCATTTGGGTGTTGGAGAGAGGTGGCAAAGTGCCAGGAGATGCACCTAGAAAGAGCTGGGACTGCAGTGAGCAAAGAAGCACTTAAATCCAGCCCTGCCCTCAAGGGGAGGAGGACCCGTGTGTCTGGCTCTGCCATGGGAACCAAATGTAAACTATGGCTGTCTCATGTCATGGGCCACTGCAACACCCTGGCTCCTTTATACCACTCAAGCTGAAGCAGTAACATTCTGAGGTCAGCTGTTCCTTTTGTTGCCAGCTCCTGGGTCGGCTATGTGAAGCCCTCATTTTCTCTCCTTTTCCTCCGTGTAAATCTCTCATGTTTTTGCCTTCTGGTGTCCCACGCACGTGTTGCTTCTATTGTAAATAACCATCATTTGTATTTATTATCTCAGTGTTCTCCCCCAAGGCATAAAATTTGAATCCCTGCACTGGTCTCTGTCGTATATTTTTCATGCCCCGCCCCTCACCCCGCCCCCTGGTTCACTTTGCAAAAGTCAGGTAGCTGTGGTTTCATTCTGATTCCTGATGTTTTGAAGCACAATGTAGCACTTATTGCTAACGTTCTTTTGCTCAAAATGGAGGGAAGTCCAAATTCCTGTCAACGTTGACAGAGTCATTTGAGCCATCTAAACCGTAGGCAAAGTAGTCCTTAAAAATAGACCCTCAGCTGGGGCTACAAATTTACTCACGAGCCTTCCTTTGAGGAAGGATGTGGACTTCCAAATAAAGATATGATGTTTATTTTGAGCAATGCATCTTAAGATGATCTGAACACCTCTCCTTTGTATCAATAAATAGCCCTGTTATTCTGAAAGGAGAGGACTGAGGAAAGTAAAATGCTAACACCAAAGCTAAATAAATAGAAAATACTGGCCCAGAACTGGAGTCATTCTTTCACACACACACACACACACACACATGAACACACACCACACCACACCACACACACAGAGGGAGAGAAATTTAAACTTGAACCAAGTCAGTCTTTACTGAACAACATGGAGAAGTGACGCTTCCCTAGGAAGAACCAACCACCTCAGGCCCAAATGAGCCAGCTAGATCAGAATATCTATTCTTCTATGGGTTTAGGCAGCAGGACCTGTGCGTTGTTACCCCATGTTATTTTTCTCCAAGCATTAAAGAAATAACTTCCACTCAAGCAGTGCCCACTGGCATCCTATGCCAAGCAGGATGATGATGAGCAAGAGGGCTCTCAAGTCAACTCAGCATGCCAGACAGCCAGATTTCTGGGATGGAGCCAGGTAAGGAAGACCACCTGGGTCGTTGCTTCTTCATAGGGACTCTGTCCAAAACCCTGCCTGAGCAGACCAAACAGAAAGAAGTATGGGCTCTAAGCAGCCCGCCATGACCATTAGGGTGGTCCCCACTGCTTTCTCCGGGCTCACCTTTGAGCTCCCCTGGGACCCAGCCACCCCTTCTTTCAGGCTGAACCGTGGCAGACACCACCTGTATGACAGCTCAGCTCACCACAGGAAGACAGTAGGATTCCCACAAATGGCAGTTGCCACCACTACCGTTGGTGTCCCCACTGTGTGCTAGCCACAGTGGGCATAATGCACGTGTCACTTCACCCTGACTTCATCCCACAGGAAGCAGGGATCATCCTCACTTCACAGGTCTGGAACCTGTGACTTTTTCAAATCATGTGGTTGGCAAGCAGGGTGCATCTAAACACAAACCGGCTCTGTAACTCTAAGCCCCACAAATTCTTCCCCCACTTCAGGCCTAGATTCTCCATGTTCAATTTATTTTTAATTTAAACCAATTCGTATTATTCCCATCTTGCATGATGCTTAGAGAAAGAATAATTATACTCTTATATTTATAGCACCAGGCCTCCGAGGAGTTCTGCTTGAGAATGGAGAGGATGCTCTCACCTTTCCTCTCTGCAAAGACTCAGATTTTGGTTCAGACAAGGGAGAGCAGAGAGAGAATCATGGAATGATCAAGAATCACTTTTCTTCGCAGGCTGATGATTTTTGTTAAAGGTTTTACTCCATTGCCACCCAGGAAAGTTTTTAGGGAGTTGCTCCCATTGAAATTAGTTTTTGTGAACCTGCAGATAGAGAGACTTTTTCACTAAAACCACCCTATCACCAGCCCAATCTGAGGAGCTAGGCTCCTCTGAGATCTTCACCTCATCATGATGGCTGCAAATCCGTACTAATCTACTATATGCTCCATGCACTGCCCGACACTTTACAAATGTTATTTCTGAACTCCACTTTACACATGAAGAGACCCAGGCCCCAAAGCATCTTAACAAGCTGGGCAGCTTCAGGAGTGATATGCAAAACACCCCCAGGCCACCCTGCTCTGTCTTACTGGCCACCTCCCACCCCAGGAATGAAAAGGAAGGTTAAATTCACCCAAGATCAGAAGCACAGCTGCCTTCCCCCTGCCATTGGCTGCTCCAGCCAATCAGGATTGGGGATTCTTGGGCTGTGGGAGGAAGAAGACAGAAGGGCTTCCAAATATGCTGGTATTCAAGCAAAGTTTCCAAAGGAAGCTGGAGCTGCATGCCCCCAAATCTGGAGACAGAAATCTGAATTTCTCCTCAAGTCAACAAGAAAGAAAAGCCCCCTGCTGAGGAGACAAGCTTTGGCCAGAGATCAGGCTTCATGTGAAATTATTTTCTGTGGGTGGAGAAGAGTAGAAAAGATCAATAGAAGCCCTGGGCTAGGAGTCATGCCTCCCTGCTTGCGTAAGCAGTTGGGGTTTTTATCACTCCCCAAAAGGAACACGCATACCAAAAGTCACGCTCCAAAGAGAACAGGGGAAAAGTCACAGCACCGATTGATTTCAGTTTATGCATGAAATGGGGCCCCCACCAGGACGAACCCATCTCATGACACTATGGGGTGTTGCCACCATTTAACATCTGTCTTCCTGGGGAAGCTAGAACTTAGAAGAGACCAGAAAAGCTCCAAGCAATTCTCAGAGGCAGGACAGTCGCTCAACAGGTGCAAAGGAGGATTCTAGGGCTCCACTTGGCCATAGTTTCTGGGACTTGTCGCTCTTCTTAAAGCTGAAGGGCGCCTGTGGAATGAAGTCGTGGCCCACTGGAGAAGATGGAGACCAAATAAATGTCTGAACTGAGGACACCATGGCGGGGCTCCACGCCAGG